CAGATGCCATGGAGATGATACTCTCTCGTAAGAAAGTATTCTGAGAATAATCCGAAGCAAGTGCCCTGGGGGGGGGAGCACGATTCCGTGGGTCTCTTTCCCAAGGGGTTCTGGGCATCTTTTTGGAGGCCTTCGGACACTTATAAATCAATGAATTTATCAAAGCGCTTTGGGTTCAAAATATCAGTAATTCTATTTACAGTAAATAAACATTGGACTATTCTAAAAGCCAAGGGAGGCCGTTCGCATTCAATAGTGCATTCTGCTTGACAAGTCAACGTGAGACGGGGCATGCTTTTAGTTATCCACAGACAGACTCCGAAAACGCATCAGGGGGAGCCGCTCACACGCCGACCCCTGGTGCATTTATTTCGTGACATGGAGTATGGAGGATCAACCGCTCAGATACAATAGGAATCGACGATCCTTTCGGGTCGTGAAGGTTCTGGACAAAAAGTGTTTAGATCAATCTAACAGGCTGCAGGAATCACGGCTCGAGATCGACGCAGTGAAGGGGCGAGTCGTTCAAGCAGGCTGCAGGGCCGGTAGTGCTTTATATCGGCAGCTCAAGGTATCTGCCCCAAGGTCAGCAGTCCTTCCATTTACCGCCTTTGTATTGCTCACAGAGACGACAAGGGGAAGCAAACGCAAGGAGTACGCATACCAGGTATCTCTACATGCGTTGCCAGAGAATATGAGGCCTCATGATATGCGCTTTGAGGGGTCCTATAGGACGAGCGCTACGAAGCTCTCAATCGAAGCCTTCGAGGCTTTGACTCCACAATCGAACCGAAGAAAATCGAAAGCGATGACGACTCCTAAAGCGCTTTACAAGCCGTCAAAAAAGGGCTCCGGGCGACGGCACCAAGCGCCCCCCATCACGGACGATTATGATTCGTCGTCATCGGGCTATTAGAATCGGTCGAACATCGTTCGGACTTACGAACGGGGGACGGGGCATGGGTGCTAACCCATAACATCAATTCTGCTTACATAGATAGGCCTGCTTGCATTTAGCAGGGTTTGCTAGCACCTCGAGCATGGGGACTGTCCCGCGGTCTCCATCAAAAATAAAGCACGCTCCGCCATCCGCCGCCGCATGCTTCTGTGTGCTGGGAGTCGCTCTAGCATCCGATGGTTGGGCGGATTTCTTCAAAATACCTCTCCACTCGACGGAGAGATGATGGGGATCGTGGCATCTATGTACTTTCACTCCGGCTTTCTCAAGGCCAAATCGAATGACCTTAA